TTGTGTACGAAGTGTTCGATGGGGAGCTTGTGATGAGCGTGGGAGGTGGAAGATCACCTATCCCGGCGCGCCCGGTTTCTCTCGAGGTAATTTATCTTTTTTTGTTTTTTTCGAAGTCTGTTGTTGTCTGAGGAGGAAAAACGAGAAAGCGGAATCAGATGAGTGTGGATTACATTACAGGGTGAAGTTTGACTGTTTGAAGTAGCCTAAGCTAAATGGCATGGTGTGAGCAGTGAGCACCTTGTAAAAAATTTCAACTGTAATCATCATCCCAAGTATTTATTGGACAAACATTTTACTGTGTTACTATCTTCATATCCACAATGCGTCCTGCTAACTTGTAAGAATGCATATATATCATGTTCTTATGTGTAAGAACAATTCATTATTCTTAGAGTAAATTACAATTTTAGTCCGATATGTTTCAGTACTTTAACTTTTTCATCCTCTCCGAATTGTGTTTTTTATTTTTGTCCAGTATGTTTGAAAAAAAAGTTACAAAAAAAAGGTCATTCTCTCGCAACAAAAAAGTTCTTTATGTTTTGCAAAAAAGTGTTTCAATTCCGTCCTTATGTATGAAAAGGACCTTTGTGTAACCTTTTTTCAAACAAACGGGACAAAAATAAAAAACGCAATTTGAAAAGGACAAAAAAGTTAAAGTAGTGAAACATACAAGACTAAAATTATAATTTAGTCTAATTTTTATACCCAAGTCATGAACTTGAAATTCAGCAAATGTTTCATCCAAATCTATACATTTCTTGTGGAAAATAGCTAATTGATGACAACGAAAATCACCCGACTATTTGTTTATATCTTGTTTTGGCAAAACCTAGTTCACTTAAAATTTGGCTTTTTTGTTTATGCATGCAATGCATTGGAGACTTTCCTTCCATTTTATTTCTTTCAAATTAATTTAGTTCTTCATTGTATATATCTTAACCCTGGAGTATCACTCAAGTTATCTACTTATTTTCACTGGTTTTTGGGTACAACGTGAGGGATAAATTACTACCTCATATTGTGAAGTTGAATGGTTTCATCTTTTATTGTTAGCTCAGGTAGATGTGCACTAAGCTACTAGCTACCTTAAATTTGCTTGTTTAAGGCTGTAAACGAGTTGAGCTGATATTTATCAACATTAATGAGTTGATTTCGAACCTTTTTAAGTTGAACTGAAATCCAACTAAGAGTTCAGAAAATTATGTAAATAATCTTATTCTTTAGCCTAATTAGACTTAGCGAGCTTTAAACGAGTCAAATCAAACTCGAGTCGAGCTCGTTTAACAACTCAAGGCGAGTGTTAAACGAGTCAAATCGAACTCTGAGTCAAAGCTTTTGTAATAACTCCATGCTTGGCCTCTCCCAAAAAGAACATATATATTGTGTTTACATGCTTGTTCAAAATAGTCCCATATGCACAAAGCGAAATTATTCTTTTTTTGTTTTATTCTTGACGTGATTGAACCATCTCCATAAATCCCCCTATATATATAATTCCCGAATGCGCTGCTTACGTGGCTGCTTCTAATGCTTCGGAATCTTACTTGACGAAGAATCATGCTTCGTAATTAGGTTTGGACAAATAATATTGATATATTAATAATTAATAATCTAGGTTCGGACATTCCATAAATATTATTTAGCTAACTTAGGTATTTTAATATCACTTGTATTAATATAATCCTTTAATTCTGTGTAATTTTATTTAGTGATGCACTGAGTGACTAATATATCTCTGACTTTTGATTTGCCTCCTTCAATTAGCTATTGAATTGTAAATATATTTTAAAAGCCGATAACTTTTGTATTTTTTTATCGGGTTTACATATACAATATATCAAATTAATCATCTTTTGAGAATCTTCGATTTGACATCCATATTGTATATTTGAAATAAATAAATTATATTTATCTTTATAATAATAAAAAAATAATATTTGTTAAAATTCATTAAAAAAATAAAATTATTTCTCAATTAATATATTTTTGTTTAATGTAGTTATATGTTGTAAGTTAAAAAAATTATTATAATATAATATATGTAAGTCGCACAAATAAAAAGTGTCATACTAAATATATAATAATATATATATTTTTATAAAATGTATTTAAATTTTCAACTATTTTTTCTCATTAATTTTAGATTTTAAGAAAAAAAAAATTAGCAAGCACCCGTGTAATACACGGGCATTGTACTAGTATTTCATGAAAGTTGGACAGAATGGCGCTAGGATTATACAATAAAATTGTTAGTTACTATTTATTTTACTCAATAATCAAACTTAAAACATAAATATATTGAATTATCTAACTTATAATTTTAATATTATGCGCATAAATATACCTTAGAATACTTCATGTTTAAAATAATCTACAGAACGAGCTGGATCAACTCGGCGTAGCACCTATCATTATATAATTTATAATTTTAATATTATATGAGTACAAATAGCTTATAATAGATTCATATATGTGCAAATGCACAAGTGAATACTAGTTACCTTTTTATTATTCAAGGAGCATCTTGTATTTTTTTGTAATTTTGAGGGGTCATCACTAATTAATTAACTGAAAAATATTAAATTTATTATGACAATTGTTTATCCGATTTTAAAAAATTTTACTATGGCATTAAAACAAATTAACTTAGTTTAAAAAAAATTGTTAATCATATAAAAACAAAAAAAAATGATTTTAAAATAAATAACTTGAACAAAAAATTTTACAATATTTTTTATTTTTATGTATTTTTCATTTAACATTTAGTGTAAAATGTAATTATTAATTTAGTAATAACTATTATATGATACAATAAAAAAATATAATTATTACTCATTTAATATAAAATATTATAGTTTTTGTCTTCATTAACTTAAAAAAGTGCAAGAAAATACTTTATCATTAATGTGATAGGGTGGATTAATATATAAATAAATAAATAATAATAATAATAACAATAATAATAATAATAGCTTGTGACGGTTTTTGTGTTAGAAATTATATATATATATATATGAAATATAAAATATATAATAATTAATAATTTTTCTTTCTCTTTTTTGCATGCGAAATTTACAATTAAAGGAGTTGGAATATTTACTTTTTTAAATTGCGTTAATAATTGGTTATAATGTATATTTTGATATGTATTTTATATTTCGTGAATTATTTGTTATTTATTTAAGAATTTCAAATACCTTTACATTTTCCAAAAAAAAAAGTTAAATTTAAATATAACCAATAAAATAAAATATCATCACGCTATGCGGTCCTCTCAGTAATTAAAA